AAAACCTTCCATTTAAAGGTAAATGTATCCAGTGGACAGCATCAACTGTATTTACACTTCTTCAACAACAAGTAGTAGTAGCAGTGAATGCAAGCTTAGGCATTTTCATTTTCATGTGCTGACACACAAGATCTGTCCCTTGGGGACCTTCTCTGAATACAGTTGAATTGTGAAATATTAAATCAGTTCTAACAAAATTGTTCTGAAAAAGTCTGATTACAGAAAACCTTGTACAGGTAAGAAAAAGAATCCAGAATCTTGGTTTGGATGTGATTTATTCCTGTCTTTGAATGTGCTGAACAAGACATCCCAAATGTGTTTAGATGCCATTTTGGAAAAGGTTTACCTTTTTTATCACATGAGTATAATTTATCCTTATCCCTTGTGCAAGCTTTTTGCTAGTCTCACTGCTTTTCAACATTGACGTGAACATGAATCTATCAAGGACTCGTAATCCTTCAAGAATGAGCAGCTGGTGGATAACCAGGTGACCCCAGAACAGGAGAGATGGGGCCCTTATGTGAGTTTCACTGTCACTAGAGAGAGGAGGAGGGGGAATTACTGAAGGAAAATATTTTAAGACAGTGCAAGTTTACCCTTGCTAATACACACATTTTATTGCTCCTCTAGATATTATTATAAAACCCTGTGGTCTTGGTATACAGTACTACAGGGCAAACCTAGAAGAGCAAGCAGCATTTTCTAAGTGATGGTTGTGAGCCAACATTTGACACTATTTTGCTGAGTGATTTATGCTGCTCTTAGATGGGGAAATGCTTCACCAAGAAAATAAAAATGGCAGAAGAATTATGTCATTGGCACTATCATTGACTAAAATTAATTGATGATGCAGTGCCTTCATTATGATGAAAGGGCTGGGTAAGGATATAGTTCATCAGAAAAAAGTGACCTATTGCAGCTGCTTTGCTTTCTTTTCGTATATTTATTTATACCCTAAAAATTGATGGCTTCTAAAAAGCATGGGAGCATCATTCATGTATGTGGTTTGGGAATACAGCCCTTGTTAATTGATTAATGTATAATAAGAAATATTAGATTGGGCTTCCTATAGACTAATAAAAGTATCGGGAAATCTATTTTCTAGGAAATTCTTTGAGGTTTCAGTCTCTCTTCTTATTTCTCATTAATTGTAATTTTAATCCTTGTTTGCTGCTTTTCTGAGTGCAGAAATGCAGCTGGTCTTCAAAGATACGTGTCAGTTTGTCCAGCAGAAATACAAGTAACTTTCACATGTTTAGAAGAGTTTAAGTAGCTCGTAGTCAATATGCAAAACTGATCCCTCAGAAGAGAGGCACTCAGTTGAACAGTAGCACCCTGTATGTTGTGAGCAGTAGTAAATCCTTGTTTGGGGGAAAAATAGTATAATGGTACAGCAATTGAACTGGGCAAAAGCAGGGAAATTGGTTATCACAGCTGGCAGCAGCATGGATTTGTGCTTCTCTAAACCATAGTTGGGAAGCAGTTTGGCCTTTAACTAAACCTGCGCTGTATTTTGCGCAAACTTTGAGGCAGTACAGGCAGCTGCTTGTGTACTAAACCGTTGAAAATCGTGCAATTCAAATAAAACGGCTGCCTTGGTTACCTTGAGTAGGGCACAGAAATGCCAATCATAAGATTATGTGGAAGTACATGGATGCATCGTTGGGTGCTTTTACTGTTGCTGAACAATACTGCTTATTTTCTTAAAGCAAAACAGCACTCCAGAATATTACCATAGGAAATCTTAACACATATGACTACTCGTGGTGTAGAGGGTTGGGATTTTTTTACCGTTTCCTGTAGTTGTTGGCATAGTTTAAAAAAAAAAAGTAATCATTTTTTTGCTGTCAGCTGGAAAGATTTGTTTGTTTTAGTAATAGTCCATCTTTCATGGTCTATGGTCTTGCTAGTTGCCCAAATGTCCATGCTTTTATTAGCTGTAGAACTTCTGTCACTTTTATTTCAGCAAGTAGTTTGAGTACTGGTAATGAATACGTAACTGGCTTCTGTGGTGAAAATGTGGTTCCTAAATTATGGATGTTACTTTAAAAGAGTTAACGTGTTTTATACTGACAAACATCAATAACTTCATGAACTAACATCCCCTGGAGTTCTAGGACATTTCAAAATGTGAAGTCTTTGTTTGGTTTACAGATTAAGGAGAAGTTTCTTCTTGTTTGTGAATTTATTTACTCCTTTGCATTGAGCCTTCCCAGATTTTTGTTTGAGTTTTCTGTTTACAGTCCCCAAATTAGGTGATTTCATTTTTTAGAAATGTTTTGCGTTTAACAATTCTAGCTCAAGAATGTATAGTATTTGTAGTGTTAACAGTGTTACTGTTGAAATTTGTTACACACTGCACATTCCCAAGCGTGGTCCTCTTGAGCTGATATTTTCATAGTTGGTTGCAATGTAATTATTTTCTGATGTTGCAACATAAAAATATTTAGAATTGGGGTTTTTTACTTGAATTTTAAGAGTAAACAGTATTTTTTCCCCTGTTCAAAATCTTTCAGGTGCCTTTCTGCGAAGATAGGCCAACACTAGTAGAATCTTAGAAAAGAAATTTCCGCTTAGCACTTGCTTTTTGTGAAAGCCAAGGAAGATAGCCAGAGAAACACTATTTGTGTCATAACTGAATGACTGTGTGAATTTTTAACATCATGCAGGTCAGTGCATGCTATTTTGTGGAACGGGGCATCTTGTATACTTCCTAAATGAAATCTTCCGTTACAAAGTTTTCAACTTTGGCATACCAAGTATTTATCTCCCGTTAGCCTTTTCCTTCTTTTCTGTCATCTTCTTGTTCCCAGGGGAAACAAAGGAAGGAATGGGATTCTTGTCCAATGGACTTGTGGGTGCCCGCCTGTTCAGTCTAATGAAAGATGGCCAGCCTAGAAATCATTGCCTAAGCCTAATATCCCATGAAATGAAAATTACCCTGTGGAGAGGCACACATATTTTGCTCAAACTTTGATATAAAACTTTAATTTTTGCATTTCCCAATTTTAGTGTCTGTGTGCTTGAACTCATAATGCTAACCTTGTATTCTGGTAAGATTATTTTTCATTTTCTAATCACTTTATTCTTCCATTTTTCCCTCCAGTATTAAAATCTAATTTTTTGTGTGTGAAGCTGGTGTGTAAACTGTGATTAAGTTAAATGGATTTATCCCTTTTAATAACGTAAAACTTAGTTTCCAGCAAACCGAGTCATCAGCATAGTTTTTAAAAAATGCTGTGAACCTTGGTATCTATTTTTTTAAAGCTCCTATGTACTGTAACATACCCTATTTCAAGTAATTAGCATATATTACAGTGGCTTCTATTTGTTGCTGCTATAATTAAGGTTGCAAATCAGTATCCATTATAATCCCTTGTTTTCACACAATCATAACTTGTCAAAACACTAACCTTTGGAACTAAAGTTTTCCACAGTTGTTCTGCTTAGAGGTAAATTTGGGGGGAGGGAGGAGGAAAAGGAATTTGAACTATGCTTGTAGCAAATCCTTGTCCAGTCGTCTTGCCTTATAGGATCAAACTGCATAGGAAGGAGCTAAATAGTTATCATTTCCAGGGACTACAAGAACCTAGAAGAAAGGTTAAAGAACAAGGAACTGCCTTTGATTTTGGCTGCACTTCTACTTTTGACTTGCCCCGCTGCTATTTTGTTTTGCAGCATCTCTGCATAACGCTGCAAACAGTATTAGTCTTACTTTATTAGCATCTAGTCACACAACAAAACTATACTATGCCAATTTTACTGATAATCAGGTGACAATCAGATGACAAAGGTGGGAAAGAGATGCGGGGGTTGGTTGTGAATTGATGATTCTGGTTGTGAATCCCAGTCCTGAATCTGTTGGCTGGTTTTTGCGGGAAAAAGCTTCCCTTAAAAGTGAAGCAAGGAGGCAATATGAGAAAACACTTACTGTGATTATTTTCCCAGTAGTAGCACGTAAACGTCAATAACTACTGCACTGCTCTTTCCTGGGTAGACAATAGTGCGTTCTTGTATCATTGCAGATAACTCTGCGTGTAAACTTGTTACGGTGACCACTAAGCAAAGCTTGTGTAAGTTCTCATTTGTAGTGATTTTGGTATGACTTGACAATTTATTTTATCGTATAGAGAGATCATGTTTTAAGGCATAATATAAGGGAGTGCTTGGGCAGGCAGGGTTGAAGGATAAGCTTCCAACCCTAACATTCATTTCCTGTGCCTGTTTTATCATCCCTAACATTACATTAGCACCATTTCTTTGCATAGAATTCATTTTAAGAAATGGTGGTTGGTTCTTCCCCCTCAGCCCTCCGGGAGAGTGTTTTAATTAGTTTCTTCGGATATATGATAATAAACTGAAGTACCGTTACAGAGGAAAAATTAAAATTTTTGTTACATTCAGAATTTGCTCCTCCATTAGTCTGTCTGCAAACTGTTGCTATTTTAAACATCCTTCTTTATAAGATTATGTGAAATACTAAAAAAGTGTGGTTTACAGATAAAATACAATAAATCGTAATATAGCAAAAAGCATAAGCCTGGTTTTTGGGAGCCCTTGTTGTCTGCAGAGGGTCCTGTGAGTCAGTGAGATGCCTTACAGATGGGAAGGTTTCCATATCTGGATTCTTTTTACCAGCTGAGGTCTTTGATCTGAAAACGTTACAACTCTCCTATGCCCTGTGATTTGTCTGGCAAGATGAGTTATTTACAAATGCAATTGCTCTTCTGACAACTCAGTTTTGAGTGTGTAAGTGCTGAGGTCCTGATCTGTAACCCACTAGGACTGCTGGTAGTCTTTTTATTGGTTTCGGTGGGCTTTGATTCAGATATTTGGACTTTGAAGCACCCCAGGTGGATTAGGTAAGAAAAGACTTTTTACAAATGATTATAATTTAAAGAGTTAGGATGCCATGTGTCTGAAATAATTTGACAGTGCTTCAAAGGCTTGTGAATTTAAATAAGTTTCTGATCTTTGTGTCTTGTCTTTTATTCCTCCAGTGGCAGATGAAAGCAAAGTTGGTTTGTTGGCCGGACACAAATCGGGTAAGCATTCTGCTATTTTGGAGGAAAAGTCAGCAACTTGAAAGTAGTTTGGGCAGTTGACAAACTCTGGTGAATAAGAGAGTTGCAAATTAAGGGATTACTTTGTATGCACTGACTCCAAGTTGTACGATGATGAATTAGGGATTGTTCTTTGCCAGGCAATGTATGTAGCAGAGTCATTTGCAGGAAGAACTGTAACTTCTTTTTCTCAGTGCAGGTGTTGTAAGCTGAAGAAGATGCCCGTGCAAATAAGGGCAAGTGCAACATGTCTTGTGGAGTGTGGAGACTTAATATACATTTTGAAAACTATAAATATTTCTTGCTTTTTCTCCTTGCTCTGAGTTCCACTTCCATTATCAGGAATATTGAAGATAACACTAAAAAAAATTCTACTGATTAAAAACAAGAATGTCAAAGCTTTTCCTTTTCTTATGCTTGTGCAGTAGAAATAATTTATTTTTCCTTAAACTTTTCAGGCCATAGTAAGAAAGAAAATTAGTTCATACTGCTGTCATTACTGTACCTACTTATTAATAAGTTCCACAGACCACACCAAGGTACAACTTGCAGTTCTTGTATTATAAGAACTTTAGAAGAAGTGTCACATAAGCTTGTAATTTTTCACAAGCTGTGGATAACCTGACATAAGAAACTTTAAACTTTCTAGAAAACTCAAGTTATTCAGCAATCTCTTGTGATGTTAGAAAACCCTGGTGTGTCAGGCTGCCCCTCTGTAGTGTGATTGCACGTTGCCTTTTTCCACTCCTTTGATAGAACTGGAAAGTGAATTCATGTAAAGGAAGGTCAACTATGAGATTCCTGATTGTTTATGGTTTTCCTTCTCTGTGCAGCTGGGTGTCCTTCTTTAGTTCTCTGGTGTGGATTTTCCTTATCTGAAGACCTTTTCCTGAACTTAGCAGACAAATTCTTTTTCAGTTTTTCTGGCATCTTTCCTAAGTCTGTGAACTTCTTGGATACTCTTTCTGAATCAAGGATTAGTACATACATCTTGTGCCATTATCACTCCTGGGGTGAAAAAATTCTTTCAACTTTTTGTTTTGGGAATGTGAAAGCTTCAAGGAAATGATGTTGTCAACTTGACGAAGTTAGAGGTGTTGCCCTTGAGTTTTTTCCTGTGCAGAAGAATTACTAGAAACATTGCAACAACATGCAGTTTTCCAAAGATCAGTGGAATTCACTGCTATCAAAGAATATTGGAAGAAAACCTGGTAAGATCAGAACTCTTTGGCAATCTGTTGTTATAGGTACATTAAGCTTTATAATATCACTTTTAGCAGCATTTGATCTTCCGCACACTCCGGAATTTGAGCATTCTGCACACTCCCCCACATCCTTGAAAACCATGGCTTTGAAAATTTTTCTATTTGAAGATGCCTACAAATTTTATATGAAAATGGGTACCCATGCTTATTGAATATTGGCTTTTTTGTTTTACTTATCCTTTCTCGACCTCTTACAAGCACCTAAGATCTTTTTTGCTAGACTAAAATCAGTGGTCAACAGATCACCTAAGGAGTAGATACAAAGATCCTGCATGTTGTTTCGTTTTATCCGCTTCAGAATAAAAGGAGCTAGCTAACTACTGAGAAGGTTGGAGTTTAAATGATTTTTTTCTTGGTTCTGTCCACTTTAAATCCTGTTCAATTGCTGCTGAAAAGTGTTTCTACCCTCTCTGTGTTCCATTTCCTAACCCTTCATAGAGAGAAATCAAGCAGCAGTTTCAGTTTTCTCATTGGTCCGTTCAAATATTTATTTTAAGGATTTGTTCAACACCATGGCATTCTTTTTCTCTGGTCCCTTTTTATTGTGTGCTTTTTGGAATTATATGTCATGTATGCATCTTGCTGGCATTCAGTCACATCACAGGACTGTTGTTTTAGCATCGTTCTTTGTGTGGCTTTCCTATAGGTACTTTTTTAAGAACACACTAAGGGAGACATTGCAGCTTTTTGTGCTGGGAGCAAAACACCGTTATTTTCTCATTACAGAATGAAGAGTTTCCATCCTATTCCAGACTTCAGGAAATTAAATGTATTTCTCTACAGAATTAATTATTACCTACTAACAATCAATGCAATTATCCCTTCTCTCCTTCAGCATGACTTGTTCTATGAAATACGGAGTTGAGTAATTCTCTCTAGGGAAATATCCTTTCTATTCCTTCTGGGGCAGTGGCTCTTCAAGCATTTAGTCTCAGCTTTTGGTATAGCTATGGGATCCCTCGCATATTACATGTTACTGAGCAACAGCAGGAGTTAGTAGTGTGTATTCATTTCAAAAAGTGTTAGCACAATTCTGCAGAAGACCAAGGCATTAGAAGGATCTGTGGCTTGTAGCCCCATCTTTCTGTCTTTTTATATATTGCACCCACAAACAGCAGCTCCTCCCCTCCCCCTCCCCCCGGTCCCCTCCCCTTAAGAAGTGGAGTTGATTCTTAGAAGCATATCTGGACACGTGCTGAGCTTTGTAAGCATGTTCTGTGGGAAGATGGCTGGAGATTTGTTCCTGTATTTCACCCTCACAGAAATGCACCTGTGAATTCTGGACAGCTGGCTTGTCCTTCATCCTGCTGGATGGAGGACTCCTGCAGTGCTTACAGGCGGTGTTAGTGTTGCAAATGTTTTCCACAATATCACTGGTAACAGCCATAGGGTGCTGTATTGATGTCGCCTACTCGTCCCTTTCTGGAAAACACCAGAGTTCAGAGAGAGAGAGATCGTGTGAGTGTGTGTGTGCAAGGAATCTCCTCTGAATCCTCTAAGGATTTTGTCCTCTGTAAGTGTTCCGTGTGCTCAGCAATGGTGTGTCAATTCCAGTGATGAGAATGAGAAGCAAGCAAGTGGTGCCTCTGTTGTAAAGTGGAGAACATCCCTGAAAATGCACAAGGAGGAAAAATCGGCAAACTTTGGCTCAATTTTTCATGAACTCTTAGCTTTCTAGTAAAAAGGGATTCCAGGACAGCTAGGAGTATACCCTTCATAAGGAAGGGCGAGACCGTTGTACATCATGTGTAACCTGATTTATATTAAATACTGAAATCAATGACTGAATTATTTGCAGCTATTTTTATTTTGTTCTGCAATTCTTTTTTTGTGTTGTGATTTACTGCATAGAACACATTTTAGTATGTATTGACTGTCTGCTGAGGTCTCTGCTGACACAGCTCTTTCAGATGATGCAGTGCTGGAGAAAAGCTGATGAGTCTTTCTTTATGAGCTCTGACATATTAATTAGCAAAATGGGCAAAAAAGCTTTCCTATTTTCATTTTAATGTCACTAGACCATGCTTTTGGCTGGGGTTATATATCGAGACAGTTTTGAGACAAAATGAGTTGAAGATCTTATTTTCTTGCTGGCTGCTATGTGAGGAGCATGTGACTGGGCTATGGATTAGTACTGGGAAGATTGAATGATACAGGGGTAGCTCTGTTACCAAGCTCAATTTGAATTAATGCTATATGGCAAGACATAAGGTTAGGACTTGAGGAAGAGAAGGCCCACTGGGATAGTATGAAGGATGCTTCTGGTCAAGTTCTGCCCCTCACTGTTATTTTTGCTGATAGAGCGGTTACCAGGTTACTGTTCAGTCTGTGGGCAGCGTTAGTGTTATGGGAAAGAAGGCTTGAGGAGGTAGGTGTACAGCTAAATCGTGCAAGGTCAGGGCTTTGATGAGGTCTGAGTGCCAACATGTCTGGTAGACCTCCAGTCTGTACTGCTTTGTGGATGGATAACTGAATTGTGGTTAAACTGGGGTTCCAACTGGAACTGGAGATAGTTTGGAATAAGATAGGTATCTCTGCATCCTTTAATGCAAGGATATGTTCTGTATTAGATAAATTTTACTGAGGTTTCGTTAAAGCTAGGATGAGGATTAGGATTATGCTTTAGGACACAGGAGTGGTTGAAAATTTAGGCTTACTTTATATGTCCCACTGGAATAGTGTATGGAAAGTGCAACAGACAGAGCTTCATCGTTACCTTCAGGAAAGGCCCTCCAGCCTTTTGTGAAAGCTGGGGTTGCATTGCTAGGTGAAAGAAGTCTATGAGATGCTAAGGTTGCATCTATACAAGGGTGAGCTCAGTGTCCCCTTTGGCTTTAAAGCTGAGTGGCATGGGATGACCCCCATCTGTGCTCTGAGTTTCTATTGTGAGATGGCATTGGGTGCCTCTGGAAGCTGTGCCTGATATATCCTAACTCATGGACCGTTTCTGGGAAGTGTTTGTGAGAGTAGAAGAGCTGTTACAACACTTCTGTAGTGTAGATGGTTACATTCTAGTAAACTCAGGTGTGCCCAGCCACTGCTAAATTTGCAAATATAAACATGTGATTTTAAGCCTTGTGATTTTAAGAACTCCAACTTAGTGTTTTGCAGAGACAAAGTAGGGTCTGGTGCAGGGGCAGAATAGGGACTGGTGCAGGCACAATCCAGTGTGTTAAAGTTTTGTTGTGGTAAAAGGGTGAATAATGGCTAGGCTAAGCTTATTGCTTCAATCTGAGTTTGGACTTGGAAGGGCAGACAAAACTGGAGAACGTTCTTTTTTTACCTGGAGGAATCATGCAAAGGTTGAGCTATTGGAACACCAGCAAAGTCCAGTGGTTTATGCATGCTTATGTAGCACAGAAGGCTTTCTTTTAATCAAGGGTTTTGTTGGGGTTAATCGTGGGGTTAGGAAGGACTACAGAAAGCTTAGTGGATGCTGTTAGGCTTGTTTCAGACAGGTGCCATTGTAGCAAGTTTGACTTCTGTTTTGCTTTTGATTTGCAGGTAACACAATTATGTCAAAGGGGTGCATAGGGGAAGTGGTGTTCTCCTCTCCTTGCGCCAGATCTCGTTTTATTAAACAAGCCTTCTCACTGCTGTAGATGTCATTAAAGCTGAGCTTTTGAAAGGGGACATTGGGTTTAGTACTGAGTTCATAAGGATTTATATAGTAACTAGATCCACAGTAGAAAAGCCTCATGTAAATGGCTGAGCTGC